GGTGCATGGCGGTGAAGACTTTCGACGCTGGCCTAGCACGCTGTTAGTCGAGGGTTTGCAGTCTCACTGTATATATGCATATATATACGTTGTATGTGTCCACTCCTCGAAGCAGCAGGTGGACGTATTTTTTGTTTGGTCGACGAACTGGTTTTTGCTGCGGTGAAACCTCTGTTCTGACGAAGGCAGATGCTCGTCTGTACTAGTCGATATAGGCCACGGGCATCGCAGGGTATCTTCGGGCTATCCCAGTGAGGCCAAGAGCAATAGTTGCTAGACAGAGATGATAGAGTAATCCGGGTTAGGGACTTGATAAATTATAAGTTGTCTGGGGGAAAAAGCAACCAACCACAGAGCGTTTTTGGATGTAGATGTTTAAGTTCTAAATTAGCTCAACCCAAATCAAGAGGATAGGAAGAAATGATAACAGGATCCTTTACTTGCCCACTAACTATATCGTCGCCATACTCAAATGCACACTGGACCTGATTCGTAGAGGAGTTCCGGAGTAGCTGGGTATTAGGTAAGGCGGCAGCTGCTTCACACGTGAGGAATTTGTCTACGGACTGAGAGAAAATATGACAGCGAGCGATGTTTCGCAGCTGCTTAGGAAGGTTGTTTCAGATGCGAGCGCAATAAACTGGAAAGAAGTGGTGGCGCAGGTTTGTATGAACACATACCATGTTTCCCGAACCTTCCGTTTTCGTGACTTACCATAATTGATTGTGGTTGCCCGTCGTCCAAGAAGTTTTACTTTTGTTAAAACGAAATTATTATTAACAATTATTGATATAAAATGAAAATTTCAATTGAGTTTTTAATTTTTGAATACTTTATACCTATCAGGGAACGGTTTGAAAGCGTTAATTTTCTTGATAAAGCATCTGGTTGGACTGTTTTCCGGGTGCATATGAGAGACCGCAAAATAAGCGCAAGATGGTCACAGCAACCAACATTGAGCCAACCGTTGTACTTTCTGATCACAAAGACCGATTTTGGTTGATGCTCAGCTAAGCGTCAACTGAACCAAGTCCCGAAGACAAACGCTTACGCAGACTAAATGAGGTTAAATACATTTTCATGTAAATTGGGGCCCTTATGCAGTCGGTGGATTAACCGAACGCTAGAATGTAAGTCTGAGCTCGGTTTGCGAAATTTCATCATGAAGCCGAGATAATACACTGCGGCAGTCTTTCGTGGCCTCGAATTCAGGGGATTTGCGCGACGAGTCCCGGTGAAGTAAAACATCGATGTATATTTAGCACCAATGTCCATGCCTTATCAGACGCGAGTTTGCGCAGGGTGATCCAAACTTCCACGGATTAACATATGAGCCTGCACTGTACAGGCAGTGGACACCTCCATCTCACTCTCATGAAACCATGGCGTTGGGTGACCCTTAGAGACAGATGTATTCATTGCAGTGAGAGAAATTGGTATGCGGTGCGGAGGTTCGCTTTTCAGGTACTGTATTTTACCAAGCTTTCCGCCGATGAGCGTGATTACGAAATGTACCTAAGATCAAGATTTCTGGGTTTAAATCACGAGTTCCGGGTTTAGAATCAGCAAAAGGTGTTCGAAAATTGCATGCTTTGTGCGCATGCGAACTGAAAAGAAGCGTCACCAGAAGTGAAGAGCTGTACTCGAACAGAGAAATGTTTATTGCCAACAGCGGCCGCTCCGTATTCGCAAAATAGAATATTCCTCGAAAGCCACGTCATTTTTAGGGTTGCCACTTCAAGGTGTAGAACGGCTACGTAGTGCGACATTTTACACAAATTATCTACATTAATGATTGTCTAAGTGAGCGGCCACAGAGTATACAAAAGCTCAAGTCTGTGTCCCTAGACTGCCATCTGGGTTGAGATGCAGTATCCTCGACCACTGACGGCTGGCCAGCAGTTGCAGAATTTGCACCTAAACAATCAACCGCTCAATGCTGCCCGTGGCACTCTGGGTTTAGCCACTAATGCTTATTTACTATTCGGTTCAGTTTATGCAAGCCGTCCGAAGCTGTCAATGATGCCTGGGGAAGAGTGTAGGGGTACATTTTTACGATAGGTTGCAACCCGAAAGCCATTGTTGGACTAGGAAAACATGAGTGAATATCTATGAAAATGTTTATTACCGCTTAAGATAGATTGTATTCTAGCGCAGATGTTAACCGCTGAGTGTTTATACCACGAAATATAAGTTAGGTAGGGTGGGTTGACCTCACCTTGTTTGTTCCGGCACTATATTAGTGCAGCCTTCGTTGTCGCGGCTCCAAATGCATCGAAACTAGTCATTCGACAGACCACGTTCAGAACGTAGCCGTCACCCTCCAGTATTTCCCTTCGGTCGCAGTGATACCACATATGCATCTCAATTCTCGCCTGACTCACCCGGCATGTTTTCCGTATAGCGTACTCCTGTATGTCAGAGTGGGGTATTCGGTTTTAAATGTGACCATTGGCATTCTGAGGATGGTTGTTAGTCAAATAACTCAAGTGAGCCATCCCGGTTTGTGCACGCACAGCCAATTTTCAGCCAATATGCAACCAGCGGGCCGTAAGATAAAGATAAGTGGAAATTTGCGCTTTCTTGTGGCGCAGCGTTTGCAGACCTTGCTAAAGTAAGCCATGTTGTGCCACGCTTATGTGCTTGCTGATAGCTCTTCTAATATGAAAGTAGCACAGCGTTGCGTCGCAGCCGAAGATAGCTCTTGCAGCCCGCATTCGCGCCGCCAACTTGTTTAGGAGGCAAGTCTTAATGATTTTTTGCAACCCAACATTTCCTGGAATAAATGGAACAATTTATACATACAGGAAAACTGCTGTCTCTACGGCGGGAACTCATGCCATCCAATATCAGAAGGTATACAGCTTTAGTCTGCAAGGCGAATAGTCGGTGCTCTAAGAAACTCACCAAAAACAGTTTTTGCGTGCGTCCGACTCCATTCAGTACATTTGGAAAGCATCGAAACAGCGTTATCTGCTGCCATCTGGAGAGGCATATGTGGCCATGGTGGGTTTTTCCCTGACTGTAGCACAAGCACGCGTCCATTCTCCCGAAGTTTTGCCAGGACCGGAGGTGTACAATCTACTAGAATGAAACTTTACCAAGCGGCACCTACTCAACGGAGCCGGTCAATACTTCCGGCAGTATTGCATTTATCCTGACTGGCAAGCATATCGTCGAATTCATAGGCCGCAAACTGCTACACTTCACATGACGGCGTCCCATACTTCAGCGGGACCCTGCAGCTTCCCAAATTATCTTCAGTCAGTGGTCGATATACCGCAAGCCGATCTTGCAGCGATCAAGAAAACTTATGGGCTGAATGCAGATAGTAGGAGGTGACTAAGACATGGTTCCCCTATCTCGAACAAAACCGCGCTGGACAGTCGGTGCTTCGCGTACCATTTATTTTACTTGGAAAACAAGCCTATCTCACTAGTTTCTTCGGATTTCTCGAATTTCCGTTTGCGTTGCAGACCGCCTGCAGCGTTTTAGTGCGCCCATTCGTAAAGCATAACAGCTGTGGGGTTTCAATTACTGGATGAACGTGCAAATACCACGTGGTTATTCTTCATGTATTTATTTAACGCCCTCTCAAACGCCGTGAAGGATAAAAAGAATACGGCCCCCAATTTCTCAACAAACATTGGTGAAGCCGATTCTGAAGCCAGCCGGTGGCTAGACGCACAATGTATTTTTCTGCAAAACGCCTGCGGACGAAATAAAAACTTTAACGTCAAAATGTTGCACTTCTTTGCATATATGCGTAGACTGAAAACCCCCCTCATCTGCCAAATCCCAGATTAAGGCAATTTTTTGTCTGAGGACCTATGCAAAAACAAACAAAATTTGGGCGTAAAAAAATCCTATTTCACCAACAAGGGCTTTGCAGAAAAAAAGCACTGTGCTTCCAAGGCGCTTGTTACAGTAGGCCCGTGCCTCGCTAGTCATCACATGCACGTAACAAATGGTGTTCACGGTCTGAGATCGAATTTTCATGCATATTTCCTGAGGTGATTAGCCGAAAAAGGAGCAGTAACCTATTTTTAGAGTATTTGCTTTGTCACCCTGAATTTAGGCATTGCACCCAACCAATTGAAAAGTTACGGTTCACAACGTTTTCTTGGAATGCAAAAGCGGAATTTTCGATTGACATAGGACAAAATTGTGCATATTTTCCTGCGACATGCGCCATCATTCGGACCCTTTCCGTAGTTCTACTCCGAATAACAACATCCGGAATTTCACTAATCGGGAGCGCTCTTCGAAAAATTGTGACGCACTCATTTCGCGGTTGTGTTTTTTTCATTACCAACTAAGTCGAAACCTCGAAATCGACACCAGTAGCTATTTTGAATAGTAGATAGCCAGCACCCCAGCCATAATTATAAAACGAAAGACAATGGCCTAAGTTTAAATGGTAGCATTAACTGCGATACTCCGCAAAAAGAAGAAACAAATCAATAGTCATCCAGAATTGGAAAAGTGCCACAAAACTCCAACCTTATCTTGTATATTTCCGTCATAGGACAACCCGCACTGAGCCCCAATTCAGCCTCGCATGCCTCATTATCCGTGCTCACAATGTCCATGGCTCACACTTGCAGGTACACTGGCCATCCATCATCCTGTCGCCGAACTGTAGCACCATAAAAATTCTCACCATCCCCGCTTTCCTTTGAATGGTCACACCTGCTGCTCCACCATCAGATTGAATTCTTCATCCCTAGTTCTAATTTGATAACATGCACCACTCCCCCCAATCTCAGCAGCCACCTCTCAAATTCTCTCACTCACTAACTATTTTGTCGTACTCTTACCACACTTTTGCTGCTCAAACATTGTCAAAATACCAGAACTTAAAACTGATAGAATAAATGCTAAACTCTCTATGTTGAACGGGTGGATCGAAATCCACTTAATATTGATTTATTTTGAGGCGTTGGTTCCACGAAAAGCTACCGTCTTTAGGAGTCACGTTTTACCCATGGCGGTCTCGTGAAGTTCACTCAACCTCGGTGTTCCCCTTCTCACGCTCTCATTGAGTGATACTTTGCCGATTCGGCTAAAGGTGTTTTGCCGCGTTTCATTATCTGCAATGGCTACTGGCTTTTCCATATCCATGAACGAAGATGACGCATGGCTTCACAGCTCAGCACTTGCCTGCTCTCAACAGCTCCTCAGTGAGACTTCAACATAGCACTGTTAGGCTTCCTCATCAAACGCACGTACCAGTTCGACTCGATGGCTCCGCGTACACTACATTCAGAGCCTCAGACAGAATTCTCC